ATAAACGAAACTCAAAATAGGTTCGGTACGACTTTTCCGGATTTGGGGTATCTATAGGCATTTAAAAATCTTCATTTCTTTCAAAACTATGCTGATTTAGGTGATGTTTTAACATGATTTTAATTAGAAATATCCACTTGTGTTTAACTATTACCAAAAAGAACAATTTGGTAATATCTTCTAAAGTAAAACGGCACTGAAAAAGGGCCCATTAAGCATTGCTTAAGGACACTTGTCCTTTCTTTTTGAGAATCCATGTATAGGGGAACAGGCTTTGAGAAAATGACAACCTTCAGAAAAGAATTAAATATGAGCACAGCCCACGATCCAAAAATTAAAATATGTTTTGTGATCTTCAGATACAGATCTTTCATTATATAATTGCATATTTTAAATGGGAGGTTGCGTTCTATAAGAAATATTTAAAAAATGCCTCGATTTTTGGCCATTTTTAAGGAAATTTACAGGATATGGGAAAAATGACGCATTTTATGACGTCATAATGCATTGACTAGAGAAAAAAACTTACGTCATGTTCAATAGATACACGGTCACCAAGGGTCCAAGTTATAAATACTACATTTTCAACCAAAACTGAGAAGTTTCGATTTTTCAGAAATTCTCAGGGCCAAAAAAGGCCCCAAAAGGCTCCTTGCTCTTTGTCACAGGGTATCCTTGGCCCAAGGGCTTCTGTTTATACTAAAACAGGGGTTGTGACCCTTAAACAAGGGGAGATAATTAGGAAAATAAAAACAAAAGTATTGGTTGCTAAAAAATCTTCTTCTCAAGAAGCACTGGGCAGATTATCACCAAACTTACAAAAAAGGATGAGGATATGTTGTAGATTAAAAAATGTTCAAGGCATTACCCTGGGGCAAAGGGCGTGGTCTGAAGGTCACTTCAAAGTTGACAAAAATTACATTATATTAAAATGTTGATATTTTGCTTACTATAAGGACTAGGATCATCAAATCTTGTCAGTTGATGCATCTAAGGACCTCATATCATGTTGAATAAAAAGTAGGTCACGGGTGACCTACTTTTTAAATTTTGCGACCATTCATTGTCAAAATGGTTTAGAGGCATATTTTGAACAATTTAAGGCCTATGATCATCAAACTTTGTCAGTTGATGCATCTTTGGTCCTTAAAGTACATCAACTAAAAAGTAGGTCACATTGACCTACTTTGTGAATTTTATGGCTAATCTTATTCAAAACAACTAAGATTATTAATTCGAATACTGAGAGGTTTAGAATCATGAAATCTTGTAAGATGATGCATCTTGGGGCCATAAAACGTATTTTTTTTAAAGTAGGCCACATTGACCTACTTTTTGAACTTTGCAGGCATTCGATTTCAAAGTGTTTTAGATGCATAATTTGGACATTTAAAGGCCTATGACTATAAAATTTTGTAAGTTGATGCATCTTAGGTGCTCGAAAAACGTCAACTGGAAAGTAGGTCACCGTGACCTACTTTTGAAATTTTATGGCTATTTTTAATATTTAGGGTACTTTTTGGCTTAGAATCATCAAAATTTGTCAGTTGATGTATCTTCGGTCACCGTGACCTACTTTTCAATTTATATGACCATAATTAAATATTTCGGGCACTACTTGATGCATCTACTGTTCTCTCGACTAACAACTTTTAACGATAGGCCTGAATCCTATAGTGCATGGAAACACAGTTTTTTGTGTGTCACAAATGAACTTCAAGTGATGGACTCAGAGCAGATGGATCTCCTTATCAAGTATTTGGGGCCTGAATCAAAGAAGCATGCTATCAGTATCCGGATATCAAACATAACCAACATTCCTAGAGGACTACAGAGGCTGTGGGAAAGGTTAGATGAACGCTATGGTGCGCCAGAGCATATTGAAGCATCGATAAGGGCAAAACTTCACAACTTTCCAAAGCTCGGTAATAAGGATTATCAGAAGCTCTGTGATCTTTCAGACATTCTCATGGAAATGCAGTTCTTAAAAGAAGACCCCAAAGTCTTCGTAGAATTCATAAAGGATATAAGCAAGGTGAAAAATGACCCAGGATTCAACTATGAGCCAGACACAAACAGCACCAACAAATTTGCTGCTCCAAAACTATTAAGTTATGCAAGAAACAAGGTCAATGTGAACAAGACAGGTGTCGACGTAACTGCTCCACTTGAACGTTGTATCATCCACAAAACCAAACATACTCTAGTCGACTGTAGAGGATTCCGGTCCAAGTCGGTAGAGGAAAGGAAGAGACTCTTGAAAGAAAACAACATATGCTTCAGATGTTGTGCTTCTAACACTCACAAAAGTCGCGAATGCAATGCTGTTATCTCATGCAAGGAATGTGGAAGCAAGCATCATACAACCGCTCTGCACCTTACCAGAAATGACAAATTGGTTTCTATGGATTCTAAGGCAACTCATCAAGCGAATGGCGGGGAGGAAACCAAATGCACCCCTAATTCATCATTAAAGGAGAACGGCGGGGAGTCGAGGGGTAACGTGATGTCCAACACTGTGTCAGAGGTCAACTCAAGCTGCACCGAGATATGCAGAGAACCTTACAGTGGAAAGTCGTGTGCCAAGATCTTGCCCGTTCATGTGTTTCATCGTGACAATCCACACAAGTCGGTGAAGATGTACGCAGTAATTGATGATCAGAGCAACCGCTCATTAGCCTCCCCAGAATTCTTTGAGTTGTTTTGTGTGAAGGATAAACCACAGAACTACACCATATCAACCTGTTCTGGCAAAGTTGTAACCTCTGGAAGAAGAGGAAAGGGGTTCATTGTTAGATCGATAGAAGAGTAGTAAAGGGTACATTATACAGTCAACATTTTTTTTTTTAAATTAGGTCAAGGTCATAACTTTATGTAGGTCAAAGCCCAAGGTCATAACATTTTAGGTCAAAGTCAAGGTCATACCATTTATCAGTCACAAACCTCGAGACATATTAGGTCAAGGTCATATTATTCAACAGTCAATGACTATGAAAACATGTCAAGGTCATAGCATTCAACAGTCACTGACCTAGAGAAATTGATCGCAGCTTATAAAAAAAAAATGGAGCAACGTCAAGATTCAACGACAAACTGGAAATTTTTGGGAGCAAAATTACCCAAATCTGAAATCGTTTATTTCTGCCAGATCCTGTTGGTTTATATAATTATCGTTACCGCAATTGTAAATCTTTCTCTTCAGACAGAAAACACTCGTACGGAACTATGGGTGAGCCTCCTAAGCAGTGCGATCGGTTATGCTCTACCTAGTCCCACACTTCAAAAGTGATGTCGATGTATGTAATTTTGTCCTTAGTCAATTTTGCTACAGTCTCAATTAAAAAAAATTATTTCTGACAATCAGTAGCCACCACAGAAATATAGTAATGTTTAAAGCACAGCGAGTAGAAAAATCTCCGAAAAAAACGTGCAGTTTAGAGATTGCATACATATAATTTACATTCCTTACGAGGAGCGGAAAGGAGTTTGGATTGAACATGCTATAAATAGAGCTCATTTTAAGAGAAGAATACAACAAATAGAGACTGTTTTATCACCCATATTACTTCAGAAATTGGAGCAAAATACTGGAGATACTTAGTGACTGTGAAATGTACTTTGGAAAAAAAAATATTCACAGTCATAATTTAAGGTTAGGACACTCTTATGTGACTGTGAAAATGTTTTACTAATCAGAACATTATACAGTCAATTATGTCACTGTATTTGATTCCTATATAAACTCGGGTATAGAAGGCATATATCACCAGTTCTGATTTCGCCTGAGAGGGAGCACAATATTTTGTTTTAACTCTACCTTACGCAAGAAGATGGAGCAAAAACATAAAGACATTATCAAGGCAAACTACTCAACTCTTGTAAAGAACATGATGTCTACCCATGTTGTTGGACATCTTTTTGCTTCGGGAATTATTACAGATGAAATGAGACAACAGATAGAGGCTGAGAAAACTAGTTATGATCGCAACAGAAAGTTGATCAGCATCATCTTACGTCGAGGAAAAAGAGCTTTTACAGGACTTAAAGTTGCATTGATGAAAGCTGACCAAAACGAACTCTCCAAAGTTTTGATTGGTGAAGACAGTACAATGACCGAATACGAGAAGAAGCTAGCCACAGCCCGATCTTTGGTTGTGAACATGACGGAAAAACCAAATTTAAGCAAAGAATCGAAGAATAAACTCAACAAACGCCAACAGTTGCAAGAGCCACGATGTCGGTTTAACCTGGATGACTTTAATGACCTTTTTCTGACCGTTACGCCTTTCAAAGGAAATATCAATATTCATATTCGCCATTTTACAGTGTCCAATGGTCGTTTTTTTCCAACCAAGAAAGGGGTTACATTTCCTCTTGCCCGATGGCTGAAATTTGAGTCACTTCTACCAGAAATAGCAAGTTACCTACAAAACACCAACAGAGATGGAGAAATGAAATGGCATATTGGTGGGGGTGTTTACGTATCCCTAAATCCTATTTATTCCACAGTGGACATAAGACACTTTTGGAAACCAGTCGACGCACAGGAACCAATACCAACCAAGAAAGGCGTTACTCTAAACACACATAAGCTGATCAAACTATTAGAAGTTGTTGATGAAATGAAAGAATATGTTCCCGAGCTTAATGACGTAGAACTGTGTATGTTGAGTGATTCACATCAAAACCAACTTGGTATGCTAAGTTGTCCGGAGTGTACTCCCTTTGGATTCGAATCCCAGGTTGACAATGTATCCCTAGAATGCAACGTCGATGATGTACAAGACTTACAAATAATCGAAAATGACATTGAATAATTTAAATCTTTATAAAATGCTGACTTTGATGTACTATATTTAGTTACATGTTTACGTACTCTGTATATGTGCATTTTTTAAAAATCATTTAATAAAAGTTTGTATATTAAGATATATCTGCGTGGTTATTACCTTGGTATTTAAGAGAACACAAATAGAAGTAAAAGCTCATTTAGATCCAGTATGTCAAAATACACGGATTACTTGAGAAAATTATACTACACGCCTGGAAATCCTGGTGCTTTTGCAGGTCCTGAAAAGCTATACCAATCTGTTAAAAACGATGGAAAACACAAAATTGGAAGAGAAAAAATTAGACAATTTTTGAACAATGAGGACCCCTACAGTCTGCTTAAACCTATTCGTAGGTCATTTCCTCGTTCGAAGGTAGTTGTGGACACGATTGACTCTATGTGGGACGGAGATTTGGCTGATGTTAGCAACATTTCTTCTCACAATGATGGTTTTCAATTTTTGTTTGTGTTGATAGATATATTCAGTCGATTTTTGTTTGTGGTGCCTTTGAAAAATAAGCACCATCAAACCATTATTGATAGTTTGAAAAAAACTTTTCAAACAGGACGAAAACCAAACACATTAAGAACAGATAAAGGAAGTGAATTCAAAAATCGTTGGGTTAAAGCATTTCTACAAAAAGAGAATATCAGTAACATATACACTCAGAATGAAACAAAAGCAAATTATGCTGAAAGAGTTATTCGAACTATGAAAAACCTAATGTATCGTTATTTTCTTAAAAATAGAACTTATCGGTACTTAGACGTTTTACAAGATTTAGTCAAAACTTACAATAAGCGACCTCATAGATCTTTGGGTGGAATAACACCCTCAGAAGTAAACCCTCAAAATGTCGACGAAATAAGATTATCTGCCTATCTGGCTGGAAAAAAGAAGATTCGCTCTGATTCCAAAAATATAGAAAATCAAAACAAAATGGTGAAGAGTAAACAGAGAAAAAAGAAAATGTCAACTTTCAAGTTCAAGATAGGGGATAATGTACGTATATCTCAGATTAAACACCCATTCCAGAGAGATTATCAACAAAAATGGACGGAAGAATTCTTTAGAATAAGTCAGCGTTACAAGAGGGAAGGAATTTCTGTATACAAAATAAACGATTTAGCAGATGACCCAATAGATGGTACTTTTTATGAATCAGAACTTCAAAAAGTTTTCAAGTCGGATGACATTCTGTATAGAGTTGAAAAAGTTCTTAAGAAAAGACAACGTGGAAAAAACACAGAGGTGTACGTCAAGTGGGAGGGTTGGCCTAAAAAATTTAACTCATGGATTTCAGAGAATTCTCTTGAAAAAAGTAAATAAATAGAAGAACCGAACAAGAAGTTGCTTTATTTAAGATGAGCGTTCGTATGATACTGACGTCAACAGACAGTTTGGAATATTTTGACAACAAACCAAATTGTTTTAGGGTTCAACTAAATAAACAAGTTCAATTCGATGGGTACTGGACAGTAGCATTGACGGAATTTAGCACATAAAGCTGGATTTCGTCCAAGAAAAAAACGGAAGTATACGTGTGCTGTGATATTTGTGAGGAGACTTTTGTCGGTGGTAAAGAAGTGTCCCTTTTGAGACGTGTGTTTCTAGGAGAGAAAGAGGGTAACATATGTTACACGTTACCATATCATATCCCAGTAAAGATAGGACAACTACAACAGATCTGTATATATATAACAGATAAAGACAAGAAATTAGTTTCATTCTTAGACGGACCTGTGAGTGTGACACTTCACTTTAAGAAGTTTCCATACGTCATATAATGAACAGCCAGACTTATGTGAGCGATCCTAGAATGTGGGAGGCATTCTATAAAAACATGGCCGAGAAAAAATTCAATCCTTATAAATATAAACCAAAACAAATAGGAAGGGGTGTACGAAGTCACAAATCTTACGTCATTCCGATCCGACCTCATTCAGAGTTTCAAACTCCAGACAATACCCCCCTTGTGACCCACGTAGCTGCTGTGGAAGAAAGAGCAAAATCAGAACATACGAAGGATGTCAAACAGGGTGCCCCATTTGTCAAAGTCGAAGGAGGTATAAAAAGACCCCATTCTGAGATTACTGTCATTCGTGCAAAGAGAGGAAGGAAGTCAACTTCGCAAAAGCCCGTAAAGAAGAGAAATTATATACCAAATTCTGCAAGGAAAACGAAAAAAAAAATCTCCTAAGAAAACGAAACTAATTTCTAAAGAAAAGAAAAGGGTGGCTTGGAAAAAATCAAGAAGCAAACAAAAACCAAAAGAATTTAAGATCGATAGTTATAAGAACATATTCAAAAAGTAAGGATGGCTTTTTTAAGTAATGACAATAAAGACATTGCTCAGCCGATGGAACTTTCTTTTTTTGCATCACCAACAAATCAAGTAGCAGTGGAAAAAGTCTACTTTACGGAAGCAAGACCAATATCTAGCATAGGGGTGGCTGATACCCCAATCGAGATTGTAGTCTCTGGTTCTGGAGCTGAATATATTGATTTAAAAAGAAGTAAATTATACGTGAAAGCCCGGATTTTAAAAGCAGACAGTAATGCCTTAGCAGCAAATGAAAAAACAGGAATCATAAACTTGCCTTTGCAAAGTATGTTTTCTCAGATGGATGTTTATTTAAACAACAAATTGGTCTCTTTCAATACCAACAACTATCCTTGGAAGGCTTATTTGAAAACTGTTCTGTTCAGTGGAGAAGAAGAATTATCCTCACAGAAGCAATCAGAGTTATATTTTAAAGATGAGGGAAATCTTGCAGACCCAAATGCTTACAATGGAGGGAATTCCGGGCTAGTATTGCGGTATGGCTATACACAACAGAGTCGTGTTTTTGAGCTTGAGGGAAACTTAATGGAGGACATATTTGATATAGATAAATACCTGATCAATGGAGTAGATATCTATATCAAACTATTTAGATCCAGTGCCCCCTTTTTAATTATGTCTGATGCCACCACTCCGGCATACAAACTCGAATTACTTGACGTTGTGTATAAAGTAGCCAAAGTACGAGTAGATCCAGGCGTTCTACTAAACCACAGTAAACAGTTGGAGTCAACCCCTGTAAAATACATTATTTCCAGAAATGAACTAAAAATGAACACTATTCCTAAAGGATCTACTGAGTTTTACTGGGACAATATATTTCCACAGGCAGTACCTGATCGTATCGTTATAGGTCTGATTGACCAAAAAGCTGTAAACGGTGATTATACAGCCAATCCCTTCAATTTTGAGCATTTTAACGTATCCGATGTCGGAGTATACGTAAACGGCGAAAGCGTGCCAGGACGACCTTTAAAGACAGATTTCACAGCGGGACATTTTTTGTCGGCCTATACCCGATTATTTGAAGCATCGGGAAAGTGGAATAAGGATGCAGGGCTGGTTATAAGTCGGGAGAACTTTAAGGCCGGGTATTCTCTTTTTGTTTTTACTATTGATCCATGTGGATTTGGTGAAGAATATTTAAACCTAATTCGACGAGGAAACACCAGACTTGAACTGAAATTCAAACAAGCAACAACTAAAGCTGCCAATGTGTTGGTATTAGCAACATTTTCATCTCTGCTAGAAGTTGACAAATCACGTGAAATCAACTATATCCAGCCATGAACTCAAAACAATTACTTAATATCGTACTAGATGATCCGTACTTAAAAGAAGTTGTGAAAGGTGTTTATGCAAGTAATACGTTACCAAATACCATACCACATTATCCGTGTGCCTACATAGTAAATTCACAACCTTTGCCCCTTCCCGGAGAACACTGGATAGCCATTATAATACATAATGCACTGGAGGCGGATTTCTTTGATAGTCTTGGGAAATCACCGGCTGATTACAATCAAGATATAAGGAATTTTATATACATGAATTGTACACATTGTAATTTCAAATCTATAAGACTTCAACCGTATAACTCCAATTTGTGTGGTCTTTATGTACTAGTTTTCATAATTGCGAGATTGTGTTTTAAAAAATCTTTGGCTCGTATATATGCATTATTTTCAAGTAATATTCAATCCAATGATAGCTTTGTACGTAGTTTCATACATGAATATTTTTTGTCTAAATAAATTAGTTTTATAATGGGGACATCAGCTTTGATTTCATTACATTTTTGTTTTTTTTTTTTCTTTATTACTACCTATACCAAGGACATCTTGAATTTTTATTATTATTTTGAATTATATATATATATATGTGCTAATTTGCTATAGACACAGTATGAAATAAGACGTGGAGAAATAAACATGGAAACAGATATTGTGAATAAGTGGTGGAACACGAAATCCTTACTTCCCTTTTCTGCACCCTCCACAATTTTAATATGTGGTAGCACACAAAGTGGAAAAACATATTTTACCAAACAAATGTTACAAAATGCAAACTGTATGTTTTCGATGCCTGTCGATAAAATTATTTATGCGTATTCTGAACATCAACCGATGTTTGATGAGATGGTTAAATCTATACCGACCCTTTCTTTACACCAAGGCTTACCAACGAAGGACGACATAGAACAATATACAGAGGGTGTGAATCATACAATTGTGGTTTTGGATGATCTCATGTTACAAGTTGCGCAGTCTCAAGACTGCGTACATCTTTTTACGGTGACTTCACATCATCGAAACGTTACAACTGTAATGCTTTCCCAAAATCTGTACCCTCCGGGAAAATATGCCAGAACAATTTCCCTGAATTGCCTAAATGTTATATTGTTCAAGAATTATCGTGATTCTCGACAGGTAATCACCTTTGGCTCTCAGATACTACCAAGTCAAGTACCTTATTTTAAGGCAGCATATGAATCTGCCACTCGTGCGAATTTTGGCTACCTTCATGTTTGTCTGGAGCCTACTCAAAACAAAGACTACCAATTAAGGTCTCGCATTCTACCGAGTGAGGACATGATTATCTATCAGCCATTATAAAAACATTTACTGAATCTTTTTGTTTCATTACACAATTATGAAGCAGAGAGTAGAGAAGCATAGAGCTCTATTGGAGTTTCTTTTGTATGCAGACAATGTACAACAGAAGATGACAGTCAAAGTACTGACCAACGAACAATACGATGTCCTCAGCGAAATAGCACTGAACATTTATACAGGGACCTATCCATTACCCACAAAGTATATAAACCAGTTAAAACCCTACGAATCTTACATTAGATTGCTGGGATCTAGAGAAGTCAGTACTAAAGAGAAAAAACGGATTTTACTGAAACATATTCAGCTAGTGTCACTTTTGTTGAAACCTATAGTGCGATATATTCAAAAGAAATGGCGAGAGAAATTATACTAGTGCCGAAGCTCAAGTATGACCACCTTCTTAAAAAATCCGACAATGTTGGGAACAATTTAAATCAGGATACCAGTCACTCGAGGAATGAACCCAAACTATTCGAACATACAGAAGATCAAAAACAAAATCCTGACCAGTTAACGGAAAAAACGGATTTGGTGCAAACAGGAAATGGTTACTTACGTAGGAATAAAAAAGGTTGGGAGACCTCCAGGTGTTTCCAATACTCGACGCAAGAGAAACATTCAATGGCTTACATACTGAGATAAACTGCATGATATAATTAAAACAGACATTATACAAATTGTCACATAGTTTTATTATTATGTTTACTGCAATATTCAATAAAAATAATATCAGTTATAAACAATTGGGTTTTTTTTTCTTTAGAAAAATCCAAATGGCAACGTGTCCAAATTGGGTAGAATTCGTCTTTTCGTATAAACCATTTTATAGTTTTTTGCTTCTCTTCGGTTTAACAGTTTTCGCTTTCTACTATCCCTAGATATTTTACAGGGATTGATAATTTCAATCTGTTTTGAAGTACAGATGATTGATTTAATTGCATCAAAATTAAGCAGTTTTGAGTTTGCCCAGTTAAGTGTAAAACCTCGCACTTTGCATTCTTCTTTCCCTGATATGCGGTATGCATAATTTTTTGGCCCACCCGACACAAATTCCACAATGTGCCTTTCTTGTGCAGATATCTCATTTGTTAGTTCCCCAAGATAGTTTCCTATGGGAAGGTAACTCAAATCGTCTGACTGTTTGGCTTTGAATATGACGCTGTCTGTATCAAAGTACAACACATTCTCATTTAACTTGTCGAGAATACTATACAATTTCAATCGAGCCCACATTGTAGTGAAAGAAGCCAAGAAAATATTTGTTTTATTATTGAATGACGTGAAAAGGGGGCTATTACTATATTCTAACTGAAGTATGTCTCTGGAAACAATGTGAAAATTGTGGGGGACTTTGGTTGGGTCTGAGAGTA